AAAGCATTTAATAGTGCAAAATTAAATTAAAATTAATAAAATAATTAAATTACGATGTCTATTGAAGTTCTTTCTGATTTACTTTCATTTTTTTTGACTATCTACATTTCTGGAAAAGTATTAACTCAGTTACTAAGCACAGATTTATGTATTTGACTGATCCATATTTTGATTATGCGGGCTAGTAATACTATCCGGTGACCCGAACACAAACTGACCAACCGAAGTTCCGACCTAGGACTTAGTGATTGTAAACTAAGATCCCAAGCCACTGAGCTACTGTTTAGATGAATAAAACCAACAATATTTATGATATAAATTACATAAAATTTAGTTAACAAAAAGTGATTCCTTGAGAGCGAAAGTCTTGAGGTACCACTTAGGATTTTAATACATTTCAGAGTAACATATGTTAACATATGTTACATATGAATCTGAAATCTAACTGAAATATTTAAATACTCATTAATTCAGAATGAATGCATTATACAACATGGAAATATAATTATTTTAATCAAATTAGATAGAAGCTAACAGTGGGATATCATCCATGCATTTCTCTATTATTTGGGGCTTACCAGCTTGATGTATCTATATCTTAATATTATTGTTTACGCTGGAACTCGATCTAAGTACCTGGGCTACAAGTACATTAAGCTAACGAGTCTTGAATGGGTCAAAGATTGTGCTTTGAATTCCATCTTTACGTGAGAGTATTTGACATAACTGAAGTGACCCTTACAGAAAGTACACATGCCAACAAAGATTGATCAGTCCCATTCAATTATGTCAACTGGAAAATACAAACATATACAAGTGGGATTTGTTCATATTAAGAAATCTGACCAATCTAAGTAAGACAATCATGTCGACCATGGGAGAAATGAATGGCTATTTAATCCTAGCATGAGGATCTTCAGCGATTCGGATACATGATTCAAACCCAGGGCCTTCGTTCTAGCGCGAACCCCTAACATCCATATCTCTAAGTAAATGTCCGGTAGTAACAAGCTTAACTTCAACCACTTCACGATATTGAATGACTGACTACCATTATTTTTAGTGGGCATCTTCCCCGAATCGACACGGTTGAACTCTACTGGTCATGGCTTCTCACTAGAATTACGAGAATTCCCTCTCAAGGCTAGGCACCAGTGATGACATGAATAGATCATATTTAGACGAAGCAGTGGTTTGTTGCTTCCAGTTTTCCAATGGTCGTCTAATTTATAACAGTTCTTGATCATAAACAAATCCAACTGTCTCCATGACCTCATACTAATCCATGAATAAACTGAAGGCACTATAGTGTTGATTATGAATTATCATCAGCTGAAGGACGACTATTCATCAGTGGACAAATGTTTGAGAACCACACATATAAGCGAACAATACTATTTTCAGTAAGATCCTTGACAAGAGGTCTTGACTTGTGAAGTTCAGCAGTAGTAGGGATGAGTCAGTTACCTACCGATGTTATTTAATTTTTGTCGCGCTACATCACGAATCGATTAAATCTGGAAGTGTTCATTAGGGAATCCTAATGTGGTGCAATAGCTAGGCACTCACAAAGAAATCTGAAGATCCTGGGTTCTGTTCCCCATGAATTTATCGAGGGATTGCCTCCTAGGACGAAAGAATTGACCTTGGTTACATTTTTTTATGAGATAAATTTGTAATAAATATCACCTGTAAATATGCGATAGCAGTGTTTTTCCACACTTGATGGAATTTTTATGTTGATGAATTAATTTACTGAGATGTCTTGTTAAACCTCCGTGTATTCTGAGGATATTTTTAATCTCGAACTAATATCATCAGTACTCAAGCCCAGTAGTGATTACCTAAGGGGTATCTAATAAAATGTTTTGATGACAGGTCATAAATAGCCTATAAAGTTGGAAGGGAACCATTGAATTTTTATCCAACCAGACCATATGTGAACGATGAATTGTTTGTATGTGTCAGGTGAAATAAAGCGTCATTTTCTGTACTAATAATATAACAATTATAGTAGCGATAATCATTGGTTTGGTTGAAGGAGTTCTGTGGAGATTGGCTTGACTTGTAGCTTATGTTCGTCAGAAATTGACTTCAAGCAGTGCCCGAAATCTGATATTTATACACGACGTGTTATGTGTTAGCCCCCCCCCAACTGACTAGTTGAGTGAGAACGCAAGAGTGAACGAGAAAGTATATATATATATATATATATATATATATATATATATATATATATATATATATATATATATATATATACAGCTCTACCCCTTCGAAAAATAATCCATTTCTTAGGCAATGATATTCACCTGTTCTGCAGGTTACTTCTGATTGCCATCGACTGACCTCATTTGTCTACTTCTCACTGGCTCACCATATCAGCACTATTTAAAAGCAGTGGGGGGTTATATTTCCTTGGTTTGTGGCTCCTTAACAATGAACATGTATGATCACCTCTGAAGAGTCTTACACTATAACGAGACAGATATTTAAGGATTTCTTGTCTTCCGATCTACTCTCAACATGTGATTAATATAGGCTACAGACATTAGTCAACGCTTCATGCATTGAGATAAATGTTTCATATTAATGAGATAATGGCTGCTTATAATCAGTAAATGTGACATATTGCCAGCTCTGTATATCATAATTACAAAAAGGTTATATTTAAAGGTATTTTAAAAAAATATGGATATGATCACCTTTTTATTCAAAGCAGAAAATGTAACTAACTTGAAGATAATTATAATTATGAATTGATGACATCTAGGAGAACTGTATACACAGACCGTCCAATGAGTAGAAAGCAATCTAGTATTTATCCTGGACCCTTGGTGTTGATCGGATTTTATTGATCACGTTACATTGAGATTACTAGTACTAAAAACTCACTATTGTAATGGACGAATGTGATCAATATGAATGTTCTAACCTAGGTTTTGCAACAGCTGACACTTTCCAATGAGATTTTTTTTTAGCCCCCAAATGCCCTGGTACGGGCGAGAGTGGGGAGAGTCACCTCTCCCTCCCGAAATTTCTCTCATATGGCCAGCGAATATATAGCCTCTGCCAGGGAAGTCCTACTCACTGCCTTCTCGTGGCGGGGGTGTTGTTTACGAAAGTGAGAGGACGAAAAGTGAATGTCCGGCGCTTTAACCTGGTTGGTGGACACGGAGGGTCCACCTAGGGGAGTTGGAAAACCCTGATTCCAAACCAATGTTGCACATGGGCTCCAGTATCCTGATGGAACGAATGGCGGACGAACCTGTCATTGGTCAACGGCTACCATGGGACTGCATCTCCTCACGATGCTCCACTGCCTTTTGGATCAGACCTTTTGGTCAAAGGCTCTGGGTGTGGCCCCCTAAGAAAACCACCTGCTTCAGTCTGGGCACCTGAGCAGTATCACAGCCCTCACACAAATCGAATGAGATTTGTGAGGCGCTTTTTTATCTGGTGCTTCATTGTACCAATATTTATGTGTTTAAATAAATAATAATTCCAATGAGATGTATCTGTAAAAATCATGATAAATCTGATACTCCCATCACTCATTAACATTAGTCAACAACGTAATAATTAAACTTACTACTCCAATCATGTCTATAGGATTGACGTATTTGAACGAACTAATTATTGAATAGTTAATACTATTGTATTTATATCGATTTCTCAGTATTCATTGGATTATATCAATCAAGTTGTAATTTACCTTCATCAAGTGTACTATACTTCTCTTCAGTTGGAAACATTACAGTAACTATTGCTTGAACTATAGTATAAAGGACAAGTAGTCAATTGCTTTCTGGTTTTTAATTACTATCCAACTATTGTCATTTGGGAGAAAAATATTGTTAAGAAAACAATCAACACTTTAAATTCACTTAGTATTACTTGTTCGAATCTTCCCATTAATGTTTAGGACTGCAACTGGTCAGTCCCAGAGAGAACATCAACTCTGAGATGCAGGTACATCCAGCTGACGAGTCCCAACTAGGACGAAACGGGCGTCCAGGATTCCATTTTTAGCCACTATCCATACTTGCTTACAATTAACACTTTGTTACTAATTTTTTCTTCGAAGCACATGGTTAAATCTTTAGAAACTGTATATGAGAAACTACTTCGATTACTATTGTGTCATCTACTTGATAATAGTAAAATACGATATACGTCTAGTGGTGCTTGAACGTCTAGAACCCCAAAATCACAAATCAGAAGACGGAAGAGGCAGGAGGAATAATTGTTGTATAAGAATGAAAAAATGTACAGAAAAACATGAGTATTTATAGTTATTAAGGTTGGCTATAATATCATTCAACCAATCTGTAAGGAGGCAAGTTATGCTATCGCCCAATCATAGCATAACACGTTGATATTCTGGAAAGTTCTATCAGGCCCTGACTAGATGAAATCTCTCTGACTCCTTTAAAGATTCTGAAAAATTCATCTTGTTTCTCAAAGTTGTCCCAAGAATTCCTGAAAAATAGTCTTTATTCTAAGTGAATCTATCTTGATGTTTATGTTCATAAAAATAAACTTCTAATTGAGCAAATAACATGTATTAATGTAAATCTATTCAATACATTTTATTATTTAACCAATCCAACCAATTGATTATCCAATCACCAATCAACATTTGAGTACAAAAATCATAAATAACAAAATAGAAAAATAAATAAACATAGTGATAACACTGATTGGTGTAATAATTTAAAAATTTTTCTTTTTTTTTAAAAAAAAAGAAAAAAACATTTTTCATTCATATTGTACTACTCAAATATTTCCATTTACATTTCTATGTAAAAAATCGAAAAAAAAGAACATAAAGAAGGATTTCAATGTTCATGAATAAACCATTCATATTCAAAATGGATCCTTTTCATGGTGAATAACTTCCACGAAATCATTCCTCCTTTATAATAATACTACTACTACTACTAATACCACAACTACTAATACTACTACTAATAGTACTACTACTACTACTACTACTAATAATAATAATAATAATAATAATGCTCTTTTTTTAATGATCAATTTACTATATATATGTATATACATATGTAATAAGTAGTAACTATGTTCTTATATTATGGAATATTATATATTCTATTTTATAATTATCAATTAATTTATACATTAACAGTCAATAATCCAATTGTAATTACATTTGTTATTGAAGAGAATGCATCAATTGGTTCTGAAGTTGGATTAATTTCTTTAGAACCAAAATCGAATGAAAATATAAAGAAACAACATACTACTACTAGTACCAGTACTACTACTAATAATATAAGTAGTATTAATAAGACAAATGATTATTTAACATTTACATTACAAGATACAACCTATTTTAATTTTGATAAAATTATATTAAATAAATTAATTGTATGTAAATTATTGGATAGAGATTTAGATAGAAAATTATGTAATGAAATTGGTTGGCCAGAAATTTGTGCATGGTCTGGTGTTATCTTTGTTAATGATGGTAGATTATTAAGTTTACGTATTATTATACGTGATATTAATGATAATATACCGAAATGGTTAACAAAAGATAATATGGATAAGCCAATATTAGAAATATGGATTATAGAAAATTCACCAATTGGTACTATCTATGATTTACCACTAGCATATGACCCAGATATTGGAGAGAATTCTATTATTAAATATGAAATAGCTAATATGAATCATATTGATAATAATACATTATCATTATTTCAAATTATTAATTTACCTAATCCTAATGGACCAATATTTCAAATGATTATCAATGGTATATTAGATCGTGAATTATTATCTATATATGAATTAACTGTAGCCGCTGTTGATGGTGGAGGAAATCGTGGTTATGCAAAATTAATTATACATATTGCTGATGAAAATGATAATACACCAATGTTTAAACATTGTAATAATAGTTATATAAATAAAACAGAATTGATGATGAAACAAACATGTGAAATGATTGTCAATATCGATGAAGATATCCCAGTTGGAAGTACATTACCAGTACATCCAATAGCAAATGATATGGATGAAGGAGAATTTGGTCATGTGACTTATCGATTTGCTTTATCAGCACCAGATGTAGCAAGAAGAGATTTTAAAATTGATCGTGAAACTGGTGCAATTATTATTCGAGCTGCATTAGATTATGATACTGGTGGATTAACTCAATATATATTTAATATTGTTGCTGAAGATGGTGGTCTACCTCCATTAACAGCAACAACACGAATAATTATTAATATACAAGATAAAAATGATAATGCACCACAGATTACAATTACACCAGCATTTTTACAAGAAGATAATTATAAATCATTAGTATATTACCAGAATAAAACAAAACTTACCAATATAGATACAATGAAATCAACTTTACGTCTAGTTGAAAATACATCACCTGGAGCATTGATTGCAACAATTACAGCATATGATCCAGATTCTGAAGACAATGGTAAATTTACATGTGAATTAGGTCATACAGATGAATTAAATTTAATTTATTTAAGAAATTTAGGTAAAATTAGTGTTTATCAATTAAGTTCATTACGTCCAATTGATCGTGAAATACAACCGGAATTACGTGTTACTTTAAAATGTGAAGATAATGGTATAAATAGTAAACAAAAAACAATTGAATTATTAACTATACATATATTGGATATAAATGATAATTCACCAAAGTATACAAATAAACGTTACAGTTTTCAAGTAAGTAATCACTTATTATGTAACATTTGTTCCCATATAGATTATTATATCATAGATAGTTCATTAAATGTATAAGTTATAAATAGAATAGCTTTGATTTATAAGCATTCTGTCGTTAGATTTTAACCAATGGTTTGTTAGTGTATGTTCATCGTCTAAGGATTATCTGTTAGTTTCAAGTTGTAGAGAATAAATGGATTGTAATTAGAATTGAAACCCACAATCTAGGTTTCATTCTATTTCAATTTAGCCAGTTAGGCTTATCAACATCACTGCGTTGGTCAGCACTATGAGATTCGAAACTAGTCTCTGATGCATTATTTATGAGCTACTGAGTTCAGATTGCCAACAATTTGTTCAACAGGTATAATGTTTACATGATTATTAGAAACAGTTTGAATTGTTTGGCTGAACAAGTTACTGGCTATCCGGATTCGGAAGCTTATTTAATGACATATTGGTGTTTAAAGCTATAAATACCACGTAAAAACTTTACTGTGGACACCAACATTATGACGTGTCAGATAGATCCAGCTTATGAGTCTAAGACAGAAAGACATCCTTGTCCTCGATTCCAGATGGTGAGGAAGATTTGTAGCTCAGATGGATGATTTTGATGGAGTTTTGTTTATTGAACTTCTACCCGACGTTTGTGCTGATGATGTCGTTCAAAAGGAAGATGGAGACTTCACGACCAAAACATCTAGCTCACAGAACAAAACTCCATCTAAAATTATCCTCCATTCGAATACTAGCTACAATCCATCTGTTCTATGAAAAAATTAGGAAGTATTTTTATTTATTCTTCTTCAGAATATTCCTTAGTTGTAAGCAACACACAGCTGACTCTCTACTTATTAAAATATATACGGAATTCCAAAATCAATTGAGGCTTGTTAGATGGACACACGGTAAATAGTTTGGCATTATGACAACTATTCGACCACCTTATTCCTCAATTTTTATCATTTGCTTCTTTACAAACTCCACAGATTGTAATTTTTTTTATTTCTCTCTACATTTTTCCTGAAAAAATATCCGTTATTCCACCACAAAGAATTTTTATCAATCTTCATTTTAGACTAGTGAGGGACTATCAGTTATTTATAGTACTAGTTGTATTAAATAGCACTGTAGACAATACTTGAATATTATATAGAAGGATCTTTGGGCACATACAAATTATTGTCGAATTCATTTTCATTCACCTGGTTACCTTAATAAGTAGTTTGTTCAATAGATACAAGAAGTGAATTTATCATTTTGCAAAATCCTACAAACTATCGATTTCATCTATTCCTCATTAGAATTCTCCATCTTTATATTGATGTAATTGGCTTACTACTGTTTTTATTATTCAAAATATCTTTGGAAGCGCACAGAAGTAGGATTTCTCATCCTCCTCTTCATTTGACGATATTTATAAACTTCAGATGCCTCACCAGATTCATGTTCACACTCGTTAGTTCCAGATTTACTTTATTAACTATAATTCGAATACTGAATTGGAAAACTCAAGAAATTATTTAATGTTTCCATCAACACGGTCATTCTATTCTCAAATCGTCCAAGTTGTCTTCACACATCTCACTGAAACGCGTCTCTCACACGAAAGACCCTTCAATAGTTTGTAAATTATCTGTACATAACTGAAAGACTATCGTTATTGAAGAACAAATTACATTATGAATAGAATAGCTATGTTATCTTAGTTAGAACCTTCTCAATACTACTCCTACAATATTTTGAAGTCTTACAAAAAGTGCAATGTTTTTCTTTTACTGCATTTTCTAGCGTGATCATTATTAGTAATTATTTTAACCAATTCATTCAGGAAATGAATAACTCTGCAAGTTAGAGTTTTCATACTAAAATTCTGTGAAATTTCTTTAAAAGTTAACCGTTGGTTAATTCATATTTTCATACTTGAAAGCGTAAGTCAATTGAAGCTAGATCACCAGGGAAAACCTGGAATCACTGGACGGCCGTTTCGTCCCACAATAGGACGAAACTAAATATCCACAAAATCCTATTCTGATAATAACTCATATTTCTTGTTATCAACATTAAAATTCTCAACATTAATAAACAGGGTAAATTCGATCTTCAACTTATATTGATAAAGTTTCATTCTCTTAGCCAGATGATTTAGTTATGAATCACAAAGAACGGAACTCTTTCAAAATCATCTACATTATCTAGAAATCCTTCTCATCATTTGGTTACCATTTGATACTAAATATTATGATTTTCTTGTTAAACTATCAAATGACATAATAAATATTGAATGTAAAAAAGAATTTATATTGTGTTTCGTAATTTAAGCAACGGATGTCAGCGGCTTATAAGGAAAATTATGTAAAAAGTATGCATTGATTGACTTTTCACATTCCATCTTGATTCTAGACAAAATTTATCTATTCCTATTCAGTATACTAAAGGGGTAATTATATACAAGTGAAATTTACGTAAAAAATTAATTTTTTGTCGGAAGGGGATTTTGTGGAGATTTTAGTAATTTTATATAGTTGAGATCATGAGTCAATTGAAGCTAGACCACCATGGAAAACCTGGAAGCACTGAACGGCCGCTTCGTCCTATTGTGTAACTTCTCAGCAGTGCGCATCCACGATCCGCCTCACGAGATTGGAACCCAGGACCTATCAGTCTGCTGCCAGAGCACTTAACCGACAGACCACTGAGCCGGTATTCAACGGTGTTAATGTCTAACTTCCACCAATCAACGAAAGTGAGCAACCATTCACCAATTTCTTCAGTGAGTTGATATCTCCCAACTGACCCAAAAGTCCCATAATAGGGCGAAACGGCCGTCCAGTGCTTTCAGGTTTTTCCATGGGGGTCTAGCTTCAATTGACTGACTATCTGAACCATATAAAATTACTAAAATCTCTGATAAGGTTCATATGCTCACTAGTGACTGACTCTATGAATTATTTCCTGGAGTTTTAGTGAGAAGCAGTAACTAATAAACTTCAACCAGGTCTGTTGGGAGATAGCAACACACTGAAGACATTGGTGAATGGTTGCTCAATTTTGTGGATTGACTGAATTTTTTGCGTTAATATTTTTTTTTAATTCAATTAATTTGTATTTAATTATCTAGTGATACAGATTAGTCCAATTATGTAATAGTTTTGTCAAGGATTAATATTAGCTGAGAAGCTGTTGTAAATATATTTTTCATTGAAATTATTACAATAGTCTATCTTTTTATTCAAATATCTATCTAGCTATTGAAAAACAAAATAGAGAAGAAAAGAATTCTAGGTAAATCTACTAATGTAATGGCTATTTGGAGACATTTATATCAATTAAAACCATGGTGTAACTCAATATATATATATAGTCTATTGGTTTACAATGTGGTTAATTATTGATCAATTCACTTCTGATATACATATGTAAAACAATTTCTTTCTTAGTGATAACAAAAGATGGAATTATTTTATAGACACTGAAAAATGAGGAACTTTAAGATGGTTACTAAAACTTAGTTTACAACTCCATTAATGAAATCCATTCGAATGTATTATTATAATGAGTTTATGTGTATATACATGATTGATTGAAGATGAAAATTTAGATTTACCTAAAACATTATCTATTAGAATAGAACAGGGAAAAAAAGTGGAAGTACTTATTAATGATTTTGTGTATATATCTCTTTCAGTAAGGTCTTGAATGAACCAATTGTTAAAACTTAGGCATGAATTTTGTTAACTTTTGTTAACGTTAATGCTTTCTATGTGGATTATGTCAATATGGCTATTTTGTTTCAGTTTTCATAGAATCGATGTTTTTAGGCTAGTGGCTACACATATTCCATAACATTCGAAAACCGTCATTTGGATGTGTTTGCACTCTACTATTGATATTCATAATGAGACTCTAACCCATTACTTTTTGCCTTGAACTCCGGTACGTTATTGACCAATAATAAGGATACTATCAATAAATCCACTGAATTATTCAGTGACCTTATGAACTCAGTATCTTAGTGTGCAACGCGTTGCAGTCTAAAAATACAAGTACTGGATCGAAGTCTCAATGTGAACACCAACAATGAGATATAACAGGTTCATCAAGCTGAAGAGTTTCAGACAGGAATAAACATACCTCATAAATTCCACTGATAGCTTAAACATGTCAAATTTTACAAAGTTCAATATATCTTAAAGACTTTTAAGATCGAAGTGAATGACAGGATTATAATTAAGATCGATCTCAACTCGGCTTTTTTGGTGTTGTCTAAAAATGTAAAAGGGCTTATACTAAGGTTTATTGAAGCCTTAGCCATACGAAAATTCAAACCCCTTTTGTGTATTCAAAAACATGCTTTCTCAAAACTCATGCTTTCTACTATGAAAAATACTAAATCTCCACAAAACCCCTTCTGATAATTAATATATTCAAAAACAGTTTGTTCTCACTTTAAACCTACCCTGGTAATATTAGCTTAATATACAGAGTGATTAGGTGTCAAATTGTTCTCACATTATGTTTATTATTATTATCCTTGTTTCCTCTTGCCTCCCATTTCCAGTCTAGTTGACCTTTTATTTTAATATACATAAATATTCTTAACAAGTATGTGTGATCAGACTGCTCGAAATGTATTGAGCTAATATGTCACATAGTACTGATCATCTTCGTCTTCTTATTACACTATCGTAATTAAATTTTATTAATTTATAATAAAAAAATGTATGAACAAATACTGAATCAAAAACGTAGTTTAAAATCAAAAGTGCACTAAGAATACCATAAAACTGTTTTCAATATGGGCAGAGATGGATAGTGGTTAGCAGTGGAATCCAGTTCGACAAGCGTTTCGTCCTATTTGGGACTCGTCAGCTGGATGTACCTGCATCTCAGAGTTTATGTTCACTCCGAGACTCGAACCCAGTACCCTCGCTTCAAACGCCATCGCGTTATCCACTCGACCACTGAGCCCTGATAGCCACTTGCTTGTGCGATGG